TTTTAGCTTCTGGTTTTTATTTTTTTTATTTTAAAAATATATAGAATATTAATTATAATAAATATTAAATATATTTTATATATTTTTAGAATGTTAAAGAACTAAAAATCCTATAGCTGCAACTATAGACCAATACTATCAAACTAACCTTTAAACTGCTCATCTAAACACCCCTTATACAACAATTTAATAGCTCACTTCCTTTCTGCCACTAAACACTCCTTAGATTTGGAAGTTAACTAATTAGACGAAGAATTCAAGTAATATGTAATTGTAAACAATTTAGATGACATATATGATGAGATCATGTTCAATCAAAATTTTCATTATTACAAAGTTAAAATTAAGACCCACCTAGACTTCATGTCAACTAATTAGACGAAGAATTCAAGTAATATGTAATTGTAAACAATTTAGATGACATATAAGATGAGAGCATGTTCAATCAAAATTTTCATTATTACAAAGTTAAAATTAAGACCCACCTAGACTTCATGTCAAGCATAATCTAAACTTCCATATCCAAGGAAAATCGTACCAGCAATATCACTACTCTTCTAGATTAACATGATCATTGTTCAGTTCAGCTTGATTATCCCTTATTAAACTATAATTAGTGTGGGGATTATCTTTAATTAATCATCTCCCAATGAGGATTCTCAATTTTAATCTATATCACAAATGGAATGACGTTTTCCAACTACATATTTTATTTTATTTTTGTAGACCATAAATGTCCCCACTTTCGTCTATCACCTTACCCATAGGTTAAAACTTCATTAGTCCCTCTGCTTTAATTAAAAAGTATTTTTTAGTCTCTCAATTTAAGAAAGCCTCTTTTAGTCCCTAAAGTTTATTATCCTACGTGTCTTTAATCCCTCCATTATTTTTAACATACATGACACATTATATGATATAAATTTCAAAATAAAGAAACTAAAAAAAAAAAAAGAATATAAAAAGCCCCTTTTTGATCCATTTATTTTAAAAAAAGTTTATTTTTAATTCTTCTACTTCGGAATTTACCTTATCTAACTTCTCATTTATGCAAAAAAACTAATGGAGAAAGTAAAAAGGGGGCTAAATAATAAATTTTAGGGACTAAAAGGGGCTTTCTTAAATAAAGGGACTAAAAAGAAACTTTTTTAAAAAATAAAAGGACTAAAATAGGGTTTTAACCTTACCCATATAAATGCTTATGTGATCAAAAGGAATATATATATATATATATATGTGTGTGTGTTAATGTATATCAATCCTTCTCAAAAAAATTGGAGTCTTAACTTATATTTAAAAATTAAAATCTTTATTCAAAATTTAGAAATTCACTCTATTAAATGTTGGTATAAGATTAGAAAACCGATTATATATTATAATATAATTGGTTCTAAATTTAAATATCAACATTTAATAAAATAAATTTTTAAATTTTTAAATTGAATTTAATTAAATAAACCTATATAATTTAAAGTTATAAATTTAATTTATTTTGAGAGTTGAAATTGATATGCACTTTTTCATATATATATAGATCCCTATGCACATGTCACCATCTCTCTATTTTCCTCTTCCTCCTCTCAAATGTGTTGTTCCTCATAAAATTTCCTTCAAACAGCTAATTTCTCTCTTTATACGCCTCAGTTTTTTATATTTTAACGAAATCAGTTCTATTGGTTTTTCCATTTTTTAGTTTACCATAGCTATGTTTAGCTAACTCAACTCTATGCCTGATGGAGCATCATTTTTTCCATAAATATAGGATTATGAGCTACTTTTCCATGAATCTCTCTCAAGCACTTTTTCATATATATATATATATATATATATATGTATATGTATCTATAGATCTCTATACACATATCACCATCTCTCTGTTTTCCTTTTCCTCTCCTCGAATGTGTTGTTCCTCTTAAAATTTCCTTCAAACATCTAATTTCTCTTTTTATATATATAACCCCTCAATTTCTTATATTTTAATCAAACTAGTCCTATTGGTTTTTCCATTTTTTAGTTTACCATAACTATGTTTAGCTAACTCGACTCTATGTCCGATGGAGCATCATTTTTTCCATAAATATAGGATCATGAGCTAGTTTGCCTTGTATCTCTCTCAAGCACTTTTTCATATATATATATATATATATATATACGGAAAAGTGCGCATCAGTCCTACCTCCCAAAAAAAATTTGGAGTCCCAGACCAAACGGTGTCATTTTTCTCTAAAAAAACTCAGCCATGCTATTCGTGTTTTCTCTCCAAATTCCAAGCCTTGCCCCTCGCCTCCTCCGACAATCATCTCCATCTCCTTCTTTGCCCCTTCTGCAATCATCTCCATTGCCTCCTCACCTCCTCACTCAAAAAGCTCACCAGTAATGTCGCCTCCTCTGCAATCATCTCCACCTCTCCCTTTCCCCCTTTTCCCTCATGTGAGGTTGAGGCGATTAGAAGCCAAGAGACATAACCACGCCTCTCATGAGGTCGAAGTGCCATAGAACAAAAGAAATCGAGATTTGTGTTCCTTTGTCACATGAGCTTGAGGGAGTTGCGAACCAATTTATTTGGGTTTTGCAAGTTTGGTTGCTGTGATTTTGGTTATAATAGTGTTGAAATTAAATGATGAGAATTGAAGTTGCAACTTTAGTTATAATAGAGGAAACTCAGATTTGGGTTTGTTGTCTTCAAAGATGCCTGAGTTCTGCTCCTCGTCTTTTCTCTTTCCCGGGTTCTGTTCACAAATTGAATTTATGAGTTTTTTTTCTTATTTTTATTTTTATTATTATGTTGTTTTCTTGGTCGCATTTGATTACGGATTGAAATATACTTGTGCGTTTAATGCAAAATTCAAGTTTGTTTCATTATTGAGAATTTCGATTTCAATTTTAGTGTTGTGAAAAGATTACTGCAAATGGGATTTGAACTAAATTTGTTTTTCTTGCGTGGGCTCATTAATGATGGTTTTGATTGTTTCTGATGTTGTATTGCTCGTCTTGCCTCTCAATTTCGTTCAGTTTCATGTTGAATTTTGAATTTGTTTTTTCCTCTTAACATCCCCATTGTACTGCCAACACTTTGGAGGGGAAGGCATGGCAAGGCTTCAAAGTTCTAGGTTTGTTGTCTTCAAAGATGTTGCAGCATATATTTTCTTTTCTAGGTTTGTTTTTGAATGGTCTAGCCATGGTTGCTTTCTTCATTTCCTCTCATTTCCATATAGATTTTAGAAACCCAAATCTGGGTTTGGTAATTTATTTTAAATCCTGCTCGTTTCCTCTGACTTTCATACAGATTTTGGTTATACTTTTATTCTTTTCTTATTCTCTTATCAATATTATTCCAATCAGAAGATTGGATTTTCATTTTCTTTTTTTTGTTACCTTCTTGGCTGCGAGAGATTGTGCGGTTTATTGTATTTTGTAGGGGCGCAATCGAGGAGGTGAGGAGGCGATGGAGATGATTGCAAAAGGGGCAAAGAAGGAGATGGAGATGATTGTCGGAGGAGGCGAGGAGCAGGAGCTGGATTTTTGAGAGAAAAGACGAATAGCAGGGCTGAGTTTTTTAAGAGGAAAACTACGCCGTTTGGTCTGGGACTCCAATTTTTTTTGGAGGTGGGATTGACGCCCACTTTCCCGATATATATATATATATATATATCCATCCCTAAACACATATT